CCCCCTCCTTTTTTCACTGACTCTTCATTTCCAGTCCTTCCTCGTTCTATACTCACTCTCTTCTTTTTCCTTCCTCCCTCTCTTTGTGGAATGTGCTGTTCAGAAGCAGCTGAGTGGAGGAATGTTGCTGTAACAAGCCCATACAACAACCCCAAGGTAGGGAGGTTCCCCCCCACACACACACACACAGTCATGTATTTACACCTTAATTTTCTGCATGTCACATACTTGCCTGCAGTAGAAGAAGAGCATTAAGATGCACAGTTGCGGGCGTGATAGGATGACTGTGACAGTATCTAGTCTGGACACACACATGCACATAGAAAAAGGCGTAGAGAGAGAGACAGAGAGACAGAACGTGAGCCTGCCTGTTGGAGTAAGGTGAAAATGTCTGCCCTCCGGGTAGAGGAATGACTCAGTGGCATGTTACAAAACTACACCATGCCCCCTTCTGTTATGTGCTTCGAAAACACTGGTATACATGCGGTAGCATGCAGATGCTTCCCTGCATGTGACATTAATATCATGCTCTGTGACATGATCTGCCCCATGATCACAGTGTCACAGCTAAAAGACATGAGGCGTTACTAAAGAGCATGAAAACAATGCCAACCATAAGCCATAAGGCCTTCACAGCCAGGATATCTCAGCTTAATTGAATACCCATAAATCAAAGCATCAAGCCCCAGCAGCAGCATCCAAATATCTAATGATGAAATCTCTCCCGGGTGAGTAATGTTGGGGACCCACAGAGCGAGTGTCATAGTCTTTTGGTTGTAACACTTCATTCTTGTTCTCTTATTTCACGTGCCTCCTGCGTTTTCTCATTCTCTGCGTGTCATTGCTATCTGTGAGTTTATTCCTGCTCCCTCTTTTGCTTTGGTTCCTGCTTTTATTTTGACGGTTAGTTCCTTGTGTAGTTTTCTGTATTTTTAGCTTCCTCCATTGTTCTTTTTGGTCTCGACTTAGTTCACCCGGGCCTTACTGCCTCTCTTCGTGTTGTGTGTCTTTAGTCTTTAGTCGAGCAACCAGGCGTGTGCCCTCGAGCACCCCTCCAGTTTTGTTCCAGGGTTGGGCCAGGGCAGAATAAAGTCGTCCTTTGATCTCCTCTGCATCAGGATTTACTGAGAGTTAAGAAAGTTGAGAACTTCTGCTATGCAGAGGAGATCAAACTGACATGGGTGGATGACATAACAAGAGCATTATAACCTGAAACAGCCAGACATCATTGTATTTCAGTTCCTCATAAACTGGTCATCTGTTCCTGCAGTCATGAGGGGCTGGCTAGTTGTGGTTCTTGGCTTTGCCTCTGAACAAGAGAAATACAGTGAAGGGAATCTTCAAGCACAAAAAAACTATTGTCGCGAGCCCATGTACAGTGCTTCTGGCATTAACAGAGATGTTA